CCTGCACAAGTGAGGCCCTGATCTTGTCCAATGCCACTGGATGGTGGCTGTCAAGATCAGGACTGGTTCTGGACTGGCTGGCCCAGAGCAGCAGCCTGCCCAGCAGCGGTGCTGCTAACTAATTGGCAAGCTAACAGATAAGGCTGTCATATTAGCATGCCAGCAACTCCGCCCCTACAAAATTAGCTTGGGTAATTATAATAATTACAGATGGAGCTTGAATGCTGTCTCTGCTGGTGATGGGTGAAATTGGTAACTGCCTGATAGCTCTTGGTTGAACCAAGGAAAATGAATTGATGTTTTAGGTTCAGTTCCTAAGACATGAGTTTCTACAGCACAAGAATTAACCCACGGGGGGCATATTTACTGCCAGTCTCAGTGGTGGCTTGGAAACATATGGGCATAAAGGTTTGGCTGCCCATTCATACTGACAGCTAGTCCTCACCGGAGGGGGCTAGACCCCAAATAGGGTATTAAGTGGAGCTTGCTGTCTTGCTAGCCTAGAAGTACCCACAGTGTAACCAAAGTGGAGTGGGAGGACCTATGCTGTGTTTGCAGACAGAAGAGATAGAGCTAGTCCTGGCAGTGGTAGACAACCAGGAACAGAATCACTGTGTGCCTGAGAGCAGCAAATGAGATGACACACTTTTAATGTATTATGAGCAACTGAAAGAACTTTGCTTTTGTTTTCCTCAGCAATCCAAGCCCAGACCAAATGCGTCGAAGAACTCAGCATCCTGGAAATGACTTCCCATCTGAGGCTCCACAAAGCTGCCTTACCACTGGATGCATCGGTGGGGCTGGTCAAGCTGGACTTTTTTTTTACGTTTGTTTGAGCACTGTTGGACACTATGGGGTATACTTCTCCCTCTTCCTGGGCACATCACTGGGCAGAAGGACACAGATGAGTCCTCTCTTTTCTGGCGTCTCTGCTCTGTGCACCCTTTCAGTTCCCTCATTTCACTGATCCTCTGACAACCAATCCCTTCTCTCTCTTTTTTCGCTGCCCTTTGCTCTCCCCATTTTCTCACTTCTCCCTCCCCTTCTCTTCCCAAGGAGGCTTTATTTTTGGGGCGAGCATTTTGTCCAGTCCCTTACAATGCAATCCAGTAGGACAGGACCTGTTACCAGAGAGCAGAGTGCTGATGGTGTGAGACACGACAGAAACCAATGCGGATGGTCTCTGGCGTTATTGTACATCACACACTGTTACAAGAGTGGCACTGGGCTCTGGGTGGCTAAGAAATGTGGCAGAAGAGTGTAATCCCTGTTACTATGGCTGATGAGGAAACAGCAAACGCTCTTGCGCTGCTGCAAAGTGATCCACAAGATCATGGCAGAAAGGATTATGCTCTTTGTCCCTGCTACATGTTGTGACACATTGCCATGTTCAATAGCCCTGCAAGATGAAACACTAAAGGGCAGGCATAACACACAAAAATGTCACATCTCTAAAGGGGCTCAGACTAGTGGAAGGCAAAGTACTTACTGCCTTGTTATTCTGTCCATGCCAAAAAGTGCACTATGAGGCATTATGTACTGGCTGAGATTGGAGAAGGTGAGAGCATGGCTTGCAAAGAGTATGCCTGCAAGGAATAGTTTTCTAGTGCTATTGCATGGATCCATAGCCTGGCTAGAGCCACAGAAAAAGCTAATCCCTGCAGGGACTGTAGCTGTGATCAGAGACGTTGTGAGCAGGAACATTGGACCTACTCTTGCCTTTGCCCCAAAGCCAGGGCTGGTTCAGTAGTCAGACTCAAACGTTAGTGAGTGTGTCCCTGCTCCAGACAAAGGGGATCTTAAAGAAAGAGCACACAGGAAGACACAAAAAAAGAGAGTGAAACTACAGAGTAAATAGAGTTACACTATATGGACATCTTCTTCTAGTACAAAGACTGGAGTTCTTAAAATGTAACATTAAAAATATTATAGCCAGACACAAAGGTGGATGTATAGACAAGCTGCACAATTAATGGGATTTATTTGGGTCTGAATGATGGGGATGTCATACCTCTACAGATTTTGATTGTCCTATTTTGCTATTTTCAGGCAACAAAGAACATTCTGCTACTGGATATAGTGGTGTGAACCTACATTTCATTTTTTTGTGGAGTATGAAAGAGTATCTATGAGAAAAATTCAGGCTTTAAACAATATATGGCAAGCCATAATCACAGCAAGACTATGGTTATGTACATAACACTGCAGCACTCCTAGTCACTTTCAGAATGAGACATATACCATAAAAAAAAGTTGTCGGGAAGATGCTGACTGTGGATGGAGACTGGCATGTTATTTTCTTCTCCATAATGTTAGTGCAATTGCATGCTCAGCTTTATTATTTTATTCCTACCCTTGCATTTAGAAACACAGACACTGAGAACCATAGGACAGTACCAGCAAGAAATGCTACAGAGGAAAGTGTGAAAAATCCCATAATGAACAATGATGGAAAAAGCTGCCCAGTGATGAAAATTTCTTTCTAATCCTGAACAATTAGTGGCTGGCTTATATCATCAGGCATGAAAGTTTGTGTCCTTTCTACATTCTTATCCAGTCTAATATGGCTGTGGATGTTCTTACTACCCATATAAATGTCTTATCCTTTCTTTTTTTATGCTGCTAAACTCCAGGCCTCAATAAGCCTGTGGCAAGGAATAAAGTTTTAGAGAGTGCATAAACGCTCACGAGAAGGAAGAGAATAAGATGGAGCAAACACATCATGTGTCCTACATCCAAACTGCTACAGAAGGGCTTGCTTTCAGGGTTTCATTGCTAGTGGGGACAGCCAGAAGTAAAATGAGAGGTGAGGTTTTGGCCTGCCACTGTTCCCTTTACACCTCTGCTATAATTTAAGATGACACTAGGTTATGGGGAAGTTGAGCACCAAGAATGAGCACCAAAAATGACCAACATATTGCTGAAGACACACCAAGACCAATCCAAACTTTACACAAAGCAGACTATTTAGATGTCAGCTTTACCATCAGAAAGCAGCCTCTCTGCTTGCAGCAAAGTGGAGCAAGGATGACTGTCACCTTTCAGTGTGTTAAGCTGCCAGTGTTTGTGCAGGGACTTATTGTGAATTGCTGGCTGAGCAAGTCCCTCCAAAACTCAGAGACAACCAGATTAAGGCCATTTACTTTTGTATAATCACGGAGGAAATACCTAAATGAAAGCTTTCTTTAATTATGGGGGCAGTTGGACATCGTAACAAAAGCTCAAGTTATTAAGATTCATCTAGAAAGATCATCTTTGCTCTGATGTCTGCAGTAATGGATCATGGAAGATTAGCTAAGACAAGTTAGACAAACCAGAAAACAGACAGATATAGAAATGGATGAATAAACAGGGAGATGATAGACTGGCAAACAGATAGATACTTAGACAGGTGGATAGTTGAACAGACGGCTATATTTATATAACCTTAAAGACAATGCATTTTGTTGGTCCTGTGGTTAAGTTCACTGAGCATATTGAGGGCTCCCTGCAATCTTCTGATGCCTCCATAAACTTCCAAGAGCTCCCCATCCCTCTAAGCTGCTACAAAAACATATATATATGCCTAACTTTTAGCACAGTAAGCCCCTTGATTTCAATTCTGCTTAAAGCTGAACTCATGGCTAAATGTTTACAAGGTGTGTGTGTGTGGAGGATGATTATTATTTTACAATACTCTTGGCATTTATGGACTGTACTTTGCTGCGCTCACAGGGTGGCTTTTTTTCAGTGACATTGTCTGAACTGTAACTAGGTAAGACTTTTGCATTTCTATGTTACATGACACTTTTCCTTGAAGCACATAAAGTCCCCTGTGATGTTGAATCTTCTGAGTTTTCAGGACTGGCTGAGATTGAAAGAATTTTTTTTCTTATGCGTTTTGTGGGCTTTTTGGCTGGAACATCTGACTCAGTGTTTGATTTCCTAACACCAGATCAATCTATGAGTGCTCTGGGGTAAAACACTCCTTTGCCAGCTGGTGGCTAGGATCAATTAGTAACACTTACTTTTTTTTTTTTTTCGTTATAATTGTTATTATTAGTATGTGTACAGCAATGGTAAGGAATGTCTTTCTAGCAGAAGTACAGCTTGGAGGAAAGGGCTATCTCAAATCCTGAGGATGCTGAGAAAATGTAGGTGCACAACAAGGACTTGCAAATTCCTGAGTTATTGGTGATTACAGCCTCAGAGTGTCCATATATTTGTAAGTACAGATATAGAGGCAGGTATGTATCCTTTAACCTCCCTCATTCATCCCTTACTGCCAGGTCTTGCAAAATCACTCCTTCAGTGCTGGTATTTTTTGAGCTAGTCACAGTGTCAATCCTAGCAGCAGTTCTCTGGTGGTGTGCCACACAAGCATGAAGCTGAGACTGTTCTGTGGCTATATTAAAGGCGCTTCAGCCTCCAGGCTTGGTAAGGCAACAGGATTTCAGAGACAAACCCCCCTGCCTGCACACATGTTCTGAGGCATGGAGCAGTTTGTGTCAGCAGCCATGTGGACCCTCTGGACTCCTCCTCTCAGAGCCATCCGGCTGCAAGGGAATCCCAGCAGGAGATATCAACAGTGGGTGCTAGGAGATGCAAACAGGCTTAGCATAGCTCCTTCAAGGATAGCCAGGAGCAAGACCCTTGGGAGCACTGCTAGGAGACCTGCCAGCATGAACAGATCATGCCTCATATCAAATTTTAGCTAAATCAAAACTTGCTGAGTGTCCTGATTGTGTTCACCAGGCAAGTCATCCAGCAGATGAGCACTCCATTTTTCAGCATAAAGATTTTCCACCTCCAACATGCCCTTGATGTTTGTCATCCAGATTTAAGTGTATAACAACTGTAGCTGGGTAAGACCAAACTACACCAGTGCTAGAGTGTGGGTGCCCTGATGGTCTGGGGTATAATCCTTCTGAGGTGGCTCATGATGGACAAAGTCTGTGGATGTGGACAATCTCCCCAAGACTGATGGAGCAGGTTGTGAGCATGGCACTGATCTGGCTTACCTGGGTAAGGGTGGATGCCATTAGCAAACACGGCTTCTGCAGCGGGCTGCCCATTAGCCTGCGGCGGGAGGCCAGTGAAGCCATTCACCCCGATTGGAGATGGGATGCTAGGCACAGCTGGTGCAGTTATGCCAGGAGGCGTGCTTCCACCTGCAAGTGGGGAGGACACAAAGTCAGAGCTTGTGAGTACTGGAAGCAACAATGACATAGATAAAACTGGTGACACAACAGCTGTGAACACCACTCAGAAACCTTCTTATAACCAAAGAAATGAAAAATCTCCCAAGCTGTTGTACAAAGAAAGGGATGGCTTGCCATTGTTTTTCTGCTTGGAAGTCTTGCAAAACTTTCTTCAACAGAATGAAGCCTTTGCTTGGTGATCACAGTCTCTAGATTAGATCCACAGCTAATATCAAGCAATAGAAAACTATAGAAATATCACACTTCCTCCTCAACTCGCTCTCTGGAGTATTACCTGTTTAAATTGCTAAATAAGCAGATGTTTCTTTCCTAGAAAACAGCACCAGAGGTAAATTCTCAGTCCCACCACCTTTCTACAGCAGTTCCTCTCAGTTTCTCTTTGGAGATGTCAGCTTTGTGGGCTTACCAATTTCCAGGACTACTCCATCTGCATTGTGTCATGAACACACATTTGATGTACAAACTCATTCTGAACCTTCTCAGCACCAGGGATCCTTAAAAGGTTTGTCAAGTTGATTTGTAGCCTAAAAGCAGCCCGTGATACTTTTTATTTTTGCATTACTGTTTGGACCAAATTTGACTTCTTAGAGTTTTAGCAGAGATTTCCCACTTGAAAGGAGAAAAATTTTGGTTGGTTTTGTTTCTTTCATGAAATCATATTCCTTTTCTTCTTCCCAGATGCATCCTGTGGGGGACTGTGATGCTGCTATTTCAGAAGAACAAATTAGTCTTTATTTTTTGGGTGGGATCCTGTCACCCACTGATAAAGAATTCTTAAATTTCTGAGAGGAGAACTAAATCCCTCTGCTACCGCATTGTCTGCTCCTACGCATGTTTAAAATGTCTGGGCAGTCTGTCCTTCTTGAAGTATGTCCAAGATGTTTTTGGGGACCAAAATTGAGTTCTCAGTAAGTATGAAATTGTATATTTCTCTTGCTAGCTGTCCTGGGTTAAGCTGAAACAGAGTTAACTTTCTTCATAATAGCTAGCAAGAGGCTGTGTTTTGGATTTGTGCTCAGAAGAAACCTGATAAGAAGTGATGTTTATGTGGCTGCCAAGGTCTTCCAGCTTCTCTGGCTGTCCGCAAACAGGAGAAGCTGGGAGGGAGCACAGCCCCAGTTACTAGCCCAGGATTTGATCTTAGGTTCAGGATTGAGACCCAAAGTGGCCAATAATCTATTCCATAACATACACGTCATGCCCGTATATAGGTGAGGACTCCCCGGAAGATCGGCCCTTTTTGGTTCCGGATCTCTTTTGCTCCAGTATTCTCTCTTGCTCTGGGTTGTCTCCCTCTGGGTTGCCCCTCTCTCAGGGTCATCTTGGTATCTCGGACACTTGGGCTCTTATCTCTGTTCTGGGAGTGTGGTTTCAGGACTCTCCCTGCTCCGGGATCGTTAGCCGGGAACAGGCTGAGCCTTGGTCATCAGGTGGGGGGGCAGTATCACTGTGTACCACTTATTATTATAGATATAATATTGTATAATAATATATAATACTATATATTTTATTTTCAATATTATTGTAGTTTAGTTATTAAATTGTTCTTATCTCAACCCACGAGTCCTTTTTTCCCTTTACCCCTTTAACTCTCTCCCCTATCCTCGGGTTGGGGGTTAGGGGAATTGGGTGAGTGGGTGTGTAGTTTGGCCCCCAGTCAAGGGCAAACCCATCACACTAGCTGTGAGTGGGAAGTTAAACTATCTTATTTTCAGCAATATCTTTCTGTGTCAGGGTATACTACAGATTGAAAACACCATTTTTTTCAGTAACGACTTTTTGAAACCAATTGCAGAAATTTTCTTTACCGTAGCAGCATTCCATGATGGGTTAGACCAATAGCACACTTTAACGACTGCTTAAATTTGTGTTGGTGCTTTAAGAAAGTCAGTGCAGGTGCATGACATGTTTTAGTGTGTTCTGATTTGAGTAGCCCAAAAAGGAGGCAATATTTCAGCTCTTTTCTTATACCCTGAGCAGACAAGCTGCTGATTCCTGTTTGCTTATTTAAATGTTGTTGGCCTTTAAAAATGCCCTCTGTGGAGGTACAGGGAGCCAGCACTGGCAACTGAAGTCCAAAGGTAATGCTCTTAGCATATGCCATCATCTTGCAAATCACAACGGCTAGTTAAAATTTCAGTTGCTTTTCTGTATCTCTTCTTTATTTGCGTAGACAACATAAGTAATTTTTTCTAAAATTGCAGCAAGGGATTTGTGCTTGCTATTTTGTGCATGTCTAAGGAAGTTTAGGCATATTCATTGCAATTCTTCAATTTTCTTCTTATAAAGAAGCCCCCTGGAGAGGCCAGATCTGTAGTTGGTGTAAAACTGGCATAACGCCACCACAGAGAACAAATGGCGGTGGTGCATGCCAGTTGTGGATTTCATCCCTGGTTTGAGATCCCCTGTTGCTGGTACACCAGGTACAGGTTCACAAGATGGAGGGAGGGAGGCAGGGACAAGGGACAGAAGGAAGGAAACAAACCTAAATGGAGTTTCATTTCTAGTCCCTCTGTGTGGTTAACAGAGTGGCAGACCCACTGCAGACCCAGCTTTCACCCAAATTATACCCATGATGGGAGAAATGCAAAACTTGAAACTTTCAGAGATGTTAACTAAATTGCTTCGCAATTACAGACCATTGTGTGATAAACCCACTCCTGATGGGGAACTGTCAAAGTGCCAGCAAACACTATAAAATTTTTATGGTCTGAATTAGCCCCTCAGACTGCCTACTGCACTCCATTGACTGCAGACAAGCTAGATGACTAGTTTAAACTCGATGTCTAACTTTTGTATGGTTAAAACCAGGTGAGATGGATCCTGTCTCTAGTCTCTTAGATTTGCCTGGATCCTAAACTCTTTAAGTTTCTAGGTCCCATGGGAACTTATGAGCCTGAATGAACTCATGGCCATGTCCCAGCAAACCCACCCACACTCCTAGAGGTGGGATGCATAGAAAGCCAGCTGGATTAGAAGGCCCGGAGATACCAGCACAGAGGCACTGTGCTTAGCCAACACCTCCAAAGCCTCTAGGACTTCTGGGTTACCAGTGTCCTTTTTCCAGCACAATTTTTCTTTTGCTTAGGAAAGATCAAAACACTTATTTTTTCCAGAGTTCCAAAAAACTTTTTCTAATGCCCATTTTTCAGAGAACTTTGAAATGTTCCATTTTCATTCCAAGTCAGAACAAAGATACACTTAAATGACTAGAAATCCTGCTATGAAGCAGAATGATCATTTTCCATTTGGCTTTCTGAATGCTAACAAAAGCCAGCAGGAGAATTTACGTTAGGCTTCAGATATCTCCTGGCTACTCACAAATCGCTGCTAGTGTTGTAGGCTTACTTGCTCAGATGTTATGTCAAACATTTTCTCTGCATCTCATCACAAGGTTTGTGAGTATTGTAGTAATACAAGGAGTCATTTCAAAGTCTAAACATTACACCCAAGGAATAATTGTCAATGGACATTTCCACAACCCATTACAGAGGTTTTTCATGAAGGAAGCTACCCATTCAAGGTAGGTCTGGAATAGTGCCAAAGTGCATAGGCTCCATGATTGAAAACATGTCATAAGGAGAGTGCAAAAACTGCCACTGTGAAAGAGACCAAGAGATCATCTAAACCCTGATCTTATTTTCAATAATGACAAGTCATGGATGCTCTGGAAAGCATGTAAAAAATATGAGCTTCCCTTTCTTGTATTCTGACAGTAAGAGTTTAACAGTCCTCAAAAGGCACTGAGCACACTAGAAGAGGAGCAGAGCTTACACAGAAGAAGGGCTGGGATATTTTTTATGTGCTGGATATCATAGTATTTGATATTGATATACCAGAACATGATATACCAGTACTGTTGTACTGGTATTTACACACCTATGTCACAGAACTCGCTCGTTCTCAAGACTTACTTGTATGCAAAAGAGCTTGTGCTCTTCTTTGGTTTGGCCATCACAAACCATTGCCTTGAATCAGCTTTCCAGGCCCTGAGAGCATTTGAATTCCAGGCAGTCTTTGTTTGATGTTCTCTCTGCACCCACCAACACAAAATAAATCTAGCTAATGCAAATATGATAATCTTTCCAGCAGGGGGCATGAAGGGTGCACGTATAATTAAGCCAGTTTTCTATTTGGATTTGCAGTAGCTCCATCGACTTGTTGTTTATACATTTATTGTTGCGCAAACATATATTTCAAAATGTGTGGTACAAGATTTTTGAGTCAAGCACTTTTCCATGGGTCTCCATAAGTTTATGTGGAATGAGATCTGTCTCTCTTCCATTTCCCCCCCCTCCTATTCTAATGCAAGAAAAGGAGCAGACAGGTATCTGATCCAGTAGCTGACAACATTGTTTACAGCTACAGATTGCAAAGAGATGCTAAGCTGTGTGTGAATGGGGAGGTTTTCTTTGGCAGACGGGTTAGCAGAACTCAGAGCATCAGGAACAGGCCCCATGCCTGCACTGCTGCTATGCCTTATCTCCCTGCCATCCAGTGTTTCTCAGCCGTGAGGCATCTTCCCTGGCTGCTTTGTCAGAGGGCCCTTTCCTGCTCCAGGGCTGGTAGAGACCTCTTCATGTTCTGCCGTGAAGCTGTCCCTTTCCTCTCTTACTGCTCTGCTCTGGAGTCCCAGATGCTGCTCTGCCCAGCACTGCCTGCACCACAGATGGCTCAGGCATAGCTCACTCCTCCCATGTCCCACCCCAAACCTTTGTCAAGCTGGTCCCCTCCAGGCCAACTTGATGCTTCAAGGTTAGCACAAGGGCATTCATATGCCACATTTTTCTGAACACAGTTCCATCCCCAGTGCCTCTCATAGGAACAACCTGCATCACCCCAGGGACCCTTTTATCCCAACCTGTCCCTTAGAAATGGTCCTCTGAAGATGTACCTTTGGGTCCTCTGCTCCCCTACCAGACCCAGTGGTATATTGCAAAGCTTTCCAAATTCTCACTTCTTTCTTCCTCATGCTTTGGCCCCGCTTTCCTTGCTGTCCCACTTCCACACAGTTAGGCCACATGCTGCTCCATGGCTAACAGCCCTGCCAGTTCCTTGACCTGTTCCTACCTGAATTATTTCCTTGTGTTTCAAGCCACAGGAAAGACAGTGTTGTTTCCACCTCAGCTTAGTTCTCTGCCCACTGAATCATATACTGCAGCTCCTAGCATGGGCTTCTGCTGACACCTCACAGCCTAACCACATCCTGGCAGCCCTTCAATGACTACCTGTCTCTGCTGCAGCAGCCAGAAATCCTCTCACCAAACACTTGCATTCCAGGTAGCACCAGAGGTCTTCCCCGAGTACCTGCTGTCCTATTTCACCGTAGAGGAAAGGCTTATGTGTCCCAAAGACATAGCTCATCCTGTTAATGACATAACATCTCACCACAAACCTTATTTTGTTTGTCTTTGGACCAGCCTGGCTGTGACAGCACCAGCACTGACGCCTTGGACATCTATATGCACCACCAATAAACAAGTGTAGGTCACTGAGGAATGTTTTGTGCCTTTTGGAGGGTGCTCAGAGTAAAGTTGTGTAAGGGATAAGGCTGAGAGGGAAGGGTCATGGCTGAGAGCCCTTTCTAGTGCCTCTCTACCAGCCTTCTCTATCCTTGCTCCTCGTTGTGTCCTGGCTCTGTTGGGTCTCAACCCTCTTGTTCTCCTCACCCACCAGTGAGTGCCACTCGGCACAGGGCACAGCTAGCCCAACAGCCCACTCTTGGTGAGCCCTTTGACTTTGCCCTTACAACTGTTTCACGATACAGATCCTGACCTGCAGCTGGCCCCAGCCCTGGAAGAAGAGGTAATGGCCTTTGTTTGCCCCTTTCCCCCTCTCCCAGACCACAAAAGGACCTGGTTGGCTCCACTCCTCGTTTCTGGTGGCCTTCACCACCAAGACCAATGTTTAATTAAACACCTACTGGGGGAGAACATAACTGGGGGAGGAGCTAACATGTCCTGCCAGGTCTCCTCTGGCATGTAGTCAGATTTTCCTTCCCTTTCTCCTCTCCATCCCCCCCTGGCCTCTTACCTGAGGTTGGTGTCATGGGGGCGGCTGCCAGGCCGTTCATGTTGAGAGCTGCCATCTGCTGCATCTGGGCTGCGGCAAAGGCTGCCATGGGGTTCAGGTAGCCTCCCTGTGCCACTGACGCCATGATCGCGGCTTGCTGCTGCATCAGCTGGAACAAAGAGAGCAGGGAAAAAATATCATGCGGTCACCAGCAGGGCAGCCCATGGCACCAGCACCAGGATGGGAACCTGGTGAGGGTGTGAGGCATCCCTCTGTTTTGAGATGTTTCACCAGGCTTGTGGTACTCCCCAGCCTTGGTCTTCTCACTACAGGGGCTGGAGGCAAACTGCATCGTTGTGTCTTGGGGTCTTTATGGTCCCCCACCACCACAGTATGTTCCCCCCGCAATGTGGAGGTCTCCTGTGAGTTGCACTCAAGACTCTGACTCCCTGGCCCTTCTCTGATGAGAAAGGCAGAGAAGAGACTTCATACATTCCTGAGCAGAGATGTCTCACGGCTTAGGTTGCTTGTATCAAAGCTTTGGGAAAGCATTAGTGGCTGCTGATGGGAGACCAGTGTACGTGGAGCAGTGGGGAGAGGGGGCCACCTCTCCAGAGCAGAAAGCTGGGCTAGTTCCCTGGGGATAACTTGGTTTGTTTCCATCTGTCAGTGACAAAAATCAGTTTTTCATACGCAGCTGGGAGGCCTCTGGTGGGCACAGAGCAAAACCATGATCAAATCTTCTAACTAGATTACAGCACCTATTTTCAACACAACCAAGCAGAGACTCCTGGAAGACCTATAAAAGAAAAGAGAGCTCCCCTCTTTAGCAAGAGCCATACTGTATAGTGAGAAAAACCCTTCCCTGTGGTTTTGATCTGGGATGACTTAATTTTTATTTTTTTGCCCCAGAAAATGATCAAAATGCTGCTTCTTTTAGGGCACCTACAAAAAGCAGAAATGAGGAACCCAGGCTATGTTTTCAGGCATTTGGGGCTGAAAATTTTGGAGCAGAAGGGTGGTGAATAGTTATGCATGCTGGAAATGCTTCTCACATTAAAACCAGACTTTGCTATCTTCAGACTTTGCTATCATTATTTTACCCTCTGAACCTGGCACACAGTCATTGCAGTTCATGCGTACAGTATGGCTGCAGTGGGCTTGTAAAATGCCCCTGGTGTGAAGAAGCAGGCAGCTTGGATGAAGCTGCCTCTTGTCTCCTTCCCTGGAGCTGTATTAAGAACCAGACGAGGTACGTCTGAGCCCATATCCAACCCCTACTAGTGACTGGTGGTGGATGCTTAGAGAAAGTGTAGGGGAAACAGGATGAACAGAGAGCAAATCCTCACTCTGTTCATTCCCCAGACTCTTGCAATCCATGCCTTGATGATAATAGTGGAGAATGAAACTGTTTTTCTGTAGGGATTTTAGAAATGACTCATGTCTTTGATGTCTCTAGAACTGTAGTACCTGTGTTTTGCTGCTCTCAGTGATTTCACTCTCTCTCTCCCATCAGGAAATCACCCTCTGGTGCTGTTGTTTAAGCACATGGGACACGCTTCTCAGTATTAAACAGACCTCAAATGTCATGGCAAGGAACAGACTGTTCCCTACTGTTCAGTTTAATATTGAAATATCGGCTAAATTAGCTGTTTAAACACATGCACAATAAAACAAATCCTTAAATCACTGTGCTCATTCAAATGCTGAAATTTGCTTGTCACCATCTGTGAAGAGACCAAAGTCTGGTCTCTTCCATTGACCTGCTGTATAACCATGCACCACAAGATGCGTAAACTTGCTTTGGGTTCTCCAACTATAAAATGGGACACAGGATACCTGCCTCCCTTCAGATCTACAGATGAAAAGTGCTGTACTAGAGTTGAGTATGATTATTTTTGTAGCCTAAAGAAGATTGGTGGCAAGGTGGTGGCTTTTCCTTTGATTGTTAATTACCCTTTTTTATTATACCCTGCATAAGACACTTTCACATTTTAATTAGTGATATTCTGTTCTTTGTAATTACTGATGGAGTGATTAGACAATCTTTTCTATTTAGCACAATGCTGATTCCCCTTTAAGGAATAAATTTGTTTCTAGCCATCATTTGATTTTATTCTGCAGAGCAGCCACTGAGCAGGTGATCTTAGTAAGTATGCCAGTGAAGTGAATGAGGGAGTCCATCCATCCTTAACGCTGGATTGACTCCAGTGCCGAGTGTGCTGACCCATATCTTATTTTCTGTGCTAGGTATTTTCACCTGGTGACAGCTGAGGATATAACTGGCTGGTTGCACAAATGGCGGCCAAGATCTGTGCCTATAGGATCTGTTTAGCACTGCTGGTCAAAGTAGCATCTCTCTGAGGTGGACACAGTTTCAAGGACTGAGGACAATCCCGGTCTGGCCTTTGCTGACTTTTCTCTGTGTTTCTCTAAAGGTGACCAGAGCTGCATGAACGAACCCACCTCAAAACATGGAGTGACATATGGCTGGTCATGTGTGTGCCATGGTAAGTTTGGCTGGCAGATAACAGTCTGGTATTTGTACCAGAGACCTTCTAGGGCAGGCAGGGGACTATGGCTTTTGGCATTTCCTGTTGTCAGATTCAGTAAACTAAAGACAGATAGGGTTTCCTCTGAGCTGGTCACGTACTAGTGTTGATGTGATGACAAGCAGAGGCATCTAGGCCAAGATCCACCTCTCCCTTCTATACCCATATGGCTCTGGGCAGATGATTTGCAGCTTTATTTCTCCTTCTTGACTCTATGTGGAGCCCCAGGTGAGCAGTTCAGCTGCACACATCAACCTAGTCAGGTGAAATCACTCCCACCCCTTACATGGCCCTTAGCGGATGTTTTTGGACCTTGGTCCCCAGCCATTTAAAAGAAAAATGCTAATCCTTTTTTGTTTGTGTTTCACCTGTGCTGCAAGAGAAACGGGGCTCTAACTAAAAGATACCACATTGCCAATGCTAGTACAAATGGTTGTGCTGCTCCAAAGACAATCTCCATTTTCCACTCAGCAGAGCTAGGCAATCACTTGTGACACTATTTACTGCTTATGCAACTTCTGCTTATGGATGTCTCTAGGCTGTTCAGAGCTAACTCCACAATGGCAAGTGCTCCTTCTGATTTGCAAACCAGGTAACTTGAGTATGTGGCTTCTTGTGTATTCAGACGGCTTATAAATTTGCACTGGAAGATGCATGCTTGTAGGACACACTGCCTACACACGTGCTCCTTTTTGCAGTGTAACATCTTTCACGCATTTCTGTCACAGACCTTCAGAAAGAAGAAGGCCTTTTCTCTCTCCTTATAAGAAGTACTAGACAATCTTAAACTTCTGATTAGTGCTGAAGGTGCAGGGCCTGCAGACTGAAACCTGGTGGGTTTCATTGAAATGGTTGCCTATAACTGGCCATACTCCCTCAGAAACTGAATTAGGAGCTTGAGGACCAAAGAGCTTAAATTTACCTTAGATTTAAAATCTAACACAGTAAAAATAAAGCCCTAACCTGTGATTTGTGAAACAAGATTCAGGTTCTTCTGCTACAGCAGGCATCCTGCAGGGAGCAGCCACCCTGTTTCTGTTATGCTGTGCGGGGTTCAGCTGAAACAGAGCTAACTTTCTTCATAATAACTAGGAAGAGGCTGTGTTTTGGATTTGTGCTCAGAAGAAAGCTGATAACAGTGATGTTTATAGCTGTTGCCAGCACATTCAAGGTCTTTTCAGCTTCTATGCTGTGCCAATGTCTGTCGGTACAGGAGAAGCTGGAAGGGAACACATCCCTACTAGCCTAGGATTCAATCTTAGGTTTAGGATTGAGACCCGAAGTAGCCAACAGTCTATTCCATAACATACACATCATGACCAGTATATAGGTGAGGGCCCTCTGGGAAGCTCGTCCCTTTTTGTTCCAGATCACCGTTTTTGTTCCGAATCACCCTTTTTGTTCTGAATCCCTCTGCCTCAGGGTCAGCTCTTTTTTCAGGTTGGCTCTCTTGGGGTGGTCCCTCTCACCGGGTCATCTCCCTCCCTCAGTCAGCTCTCAGTCTGGGATGCATGGGTTATTATCTCTGTTCCAGGAGTGTGGTTTCGGGACTCTCCTTGCTCTGGGACCATTAGCCGGGAATGAGCTGAGCCTTGGTCATGGAGTGGTGAGCAGTATCACTGTGTATCACTCATTTGTATATACTATTATTTTCAATATTATTGTAGTTTAGTTATTAAATTGTTCTTATCTCAAACCATGTGTCTTTTTTCTCTTTACCCCTTTAATTCTCTCCCCCATCCCTGGGAGGCGGGTATTGAGAGAGCAGTTCTCTGGGGTTGGCTCCCAGCCAAGGGTAAACCCATCACATATGCTCAGTGCTCTGAGGATACCCAAGATGCCCTGGAGACCTGGGAACCTTCCTGGCATGGTAAAATGAGCTGGAGCCCTGGGCTTCATGACCCAGAGGACGTACACCTCACTGCAACCTTCAGAGTCAGTCTTGGGGGTAAACTTTGTCTGCTCCAGAGCTGAAAGGAGTATAGCATCCCATATTTGAACACAGCCACATACCCCAGCGAACAGGCTTTGCTTCCCTGGCTAGAGAGGGGACTCCAACCATGTCCCAATCATGTCTGGACATCTCAACCCTTGACAATACTCTTACCACCCTTCTGCAGTCACGTTTCCCATTCATGCCATTCCCTCTCTGGTCAGACATGCTAAAAGTTAAGAGGGAAAAGGAGAGGGGTCCTTCCCAGCCTAGTGGCTGACGGCCACAGCCCAGCTGAGAGCAGTGGTATCACCAGGGTGAAGGCAGGGAACTCGGTCACCTTGAAAGAAGCTGACAGTAGAGACCTACCTCCTTCCTCCCAGGCTGGCTCCAGGGAAATTTATAAAAGGAGAGCAAATCCTTTAAGAGTCACCAGTCGCTCTTATAAAACCTCCAGGGCATTCCTAATAAAAGTCACCCCACTCCTTCCCCATCTCCTCCTGAAGACAAATGTCCCATCCACTTTCTTTTCATTTTGGAATAGGCCCAGTGTATGGTCCCAGTTAATAAAGCTGTAGAAAGCGTGGCAGTGACCCCACCAGAGGCAAATCAATAGCAGCAGGGCCCCTGGGTATTGTGTTCTTTAAAATATGCCATTTTAAATGCAGATTTTCCCTGCCCAGG